TTTCCTGCACCTCCGCCCTCACAGCCCCTCCCCGCAACAAAAACAAAGACAGAATCCCTCTTGTCCTCGCGTATCACCCCACAAACCTTCAATGTATCATTATCCGGCACCTGCAATCCAACCCTACAACCAAAGATATATTTCCCTCCCCACCCCTACCTGCTTTCTGTAGGGAGCGCGCTCTCCATGACTCCCTTGTCCACTCCACACTCCCCACTAGCCCCACCACCTTTCCCTGCAACCGCAGGAAGTGCTACACCTGCCCCTACACTTCTCCCTTTACCTCCATCCAAGACACCAAACAAACCTTTCACATCAGACATGGTTTTACCAACACATCTGTCAATGTGGTCTACCGCATCCACTGCTCCCGATGTGGCCTCCTCTACATTGGTGGGACCAAGCGGAGGCTTGGAGACTGCTTTGTAGAGCACCTGCGTTCTGCTCGCGACAAATGACAACACCTTCCAGTCGACTTCTTTCAACTCCCCCTCCCACTCCCTGGGCAACATGTCCATCCTGGGCCTCCTTCAGTGTCACAACGACGCCACCTGGAAACTGGAGGAGCAGCACCTCATATTCCAACTTGGCAGCCTACAACCCAATGGTCTCAATGTGGACTTTACCAGTTTGAAAAATCCACACTGTGTTAGCAAATGGAGGGATATGGATGATGTACAGGCAATTGAGATTTGTTTAGAATGGCATGATCCGCCCAGATGTTGTGGGTCGAATGGCCTATTCCAATGTTGTACTGTTCTATGTTCAGGGGGATGTGGGCATTGCTAGCTGATCAGCATTTATTGCTTGTCCATAGGGGCCCTTGAGGACGGTGGTCAGCACAGGCATAGTAGTCCAAAGGGCTTATTCCTCTGCTGTACTATTCTTATATTTTTTGAATTCTTAAATCTTTCTTGCAGTATTGATCTCTTATGTATCAGCCAATGCAGTCAGTGCTTTTCCTTCCATTTTTTTTCCTCCTTAACAGGAAACACACGAGATCCTAAACCCCCAATGAATGCAATGCTGACATATTCACTGCTGTTTCTCATGTCTTATACACAAGACTGGTTAATATAGATACGAAGGGACACAGCATAATTGTAAAACAAGATGTGGCACAGAGATATACATTTCGATCACTTGTAAAATTTGGCCTATAGAAACTGCACCAGAATTGCTGCCTCAAAATCTGCAAAGCTTTCTATACATCAGACTATGTTGTGAACTCACACATCCTGTAAAATGTACAGAGGTAATCCCCTTAGGTAAGACAGCTGTTAAATCTTTCAGTCAATACTTTGCTGACATGGATGTTGAAGCTAACATTTCAAAAGATAAAATCTGACACAGAATATTAAACATTCAGAAACTAGGAGACACCAGGTTGATTAAAGTGAGAATAATCCAATCATTGCCGTTTGGAAGTGAGAATGCAACATTTGAATAAAGTAAAACAGTACGCTTGCGTGTCCATAACACTCAGGCAGTTTCTGGCAACTCCAAATACAGCTCTAGAAAAATGAAGTCTGGTTAATGTCCCAAGATTCAGCACAAAATCTAAACCCTCTACAACCACATCAACAACCAAATCATTCTCCTCCTCAACATCATTGCCCCAACAGAATTTCTACTATTGACTTTACATTCTGATTAACACTTTTACTTCCTGCACTTTTCTTTCAAAAATAAAACTTCATTCATTGCTGGTTCGAGTGTATTTGTGATGAATGGTAATCATTCATAGCTGTCTGTAGGGTCTTGCTCATTAAGTGAGACAGCACAGGAGGGCACCATTTCCCTGATATCCCTGTGCCAATTAATCCCACACAGCTACTCCTTCCAAGTAAATTTCCTCCTTTCAGAACATTGCCCTTCTGAAGTTTATTTACAAATCTTCTCAGACAGCACATTCCAGTCACACTAAAGTGTTTTTAAAAAAAAACAATTCTGCTCAGGCTATTTTTGACAATTGTCCTCATTTCCCCTGAGCAGAAACAATGTCTCCATCAACTAAAATTTCTGTTAAATCCCAAACTCAGCCTCCCTAACGCACATACAACTTGCAAGAGGTCCAAACACACATGCACAGGACACCATGGTGGGGG